AAAAAAACCATAGGATGGATTTGACAGGTTTCAACGGGGTCTGTCATGATCAACATGATGAGTTTTAAATATTGACAAGGTACCATCAGCTACTCTATAATCCAAAAAACCTCTGCTTCTAGGGGCAAGATGTTACAATAATAGAACTCATATTTACAGGTGGCATCACTACTACCAAGACAATTTCATTTTCAGCACTGAGGACCCTGCTGCACCGGCTGATAGACTCTGCATCAATATTCATAGTAATAAAATACTTCTGACACCTTCAGGTCATCTAAAGCATGGACACTGTGGTCACCACATTACTGTTTTGGTGAACCCTCATGAACACACCCGTGGCTCCTCTGCTTCAAGTTTTGGCTGTTTGTCACAAGTTCTGGGGTTTTTCACAACTCTTTTATTTTATCACTTGGACACAGGGACAAGCCACCTCTTTCAACCATCACCATCCTTGCAAACCTCCTCAGATGCTCTCCAAGCCTCTGCTTACCCCACACCAAGATGAATTTAAGCAGTGAAATGCCCCTGAAAACTCACAGAAACACAGAATGGTTTGAGCTGGAAGGGACCTTGAAGATCATCTCATTCCACTCCCTGCCATGGGCAGGGACACCTTCCACCATCCCAGGTGGCTCCAAGCCCCGTCCAACCTGGCCTTGGACACTTCCAGGGATCCAGGGGCAGCCACAGCTTCTCTGGGCACCTGTGCCAGGGCCTGCCTACCCTCACAATAAACAATTTCTCCCCAAAATCTTCTGGACAAATAAGGTGGCACCTTCTCTACCATGTCCTGTTCTTCGCTAAAGTTAACATCACATCCCCTCACTCATCTCAGAGCAGCATCCCATGGCTCTGAAAGGCCAGAAGCAGTGACCCAAAATACACCAGCTCAGCACAGAACAAACCAGGAGTGAGGGAAAAGCATCCCCAGTCCAAAGTGTCAGCAGTTGTGGTGTTTACCCTATCTCTAGTAACACTTCCATAAAGTTTTAATAAATGCTTCATTAAAACATCAACTGCCTGTCCAGCCAGGCAATTATCACTCATAATCACAGCTATATAACTGTATACTGTCTTCTGCAGATGTTCCTACATCTGTGCAAAACACACTCTCCACCTCTGCCACGTGTAACATCTGTTGAATATTTGCAAACGTTTTCTCAATACGGAACTGAAATTATACTGCCTTGCTTATAATGTATTTACTGTCCCCTACCCTGTGCACCCCTTAAAAATCATTAAAAAGGTATTTCCTTGCTGTGTACAAGGTACCAATCTCACAATGTCTCTTTGCTGCATTTATTTAAATGGCTTTTAGATTTTCACTTAGTAACAGATTACACCGAGCCTCCATCTTATCACAGAAGTTATTAGGACCTAATCCTTTATAAGCACTGAAGTTATTAGACTTGTGAGGATATTTTCTTCCCTTTCATAAATAATCTGTTGGAGAGAGGGGAAAAAAATAAGAAAAAAAGAGGAGGAAAAAAGCCACTTCTTGCATCCCTGCTCACTCAGGCAACAGTTCCAAGCCCAGAGAAAGAGCAGGTGAGGCAGGTTCTTATTTTGCCAGCAGCAAAGGAAATCAAATTTGTTTTCACCTAAAGGCTTCTAGAGAGGGAAAACAAATTGCACTAATTCCTGGCCAGCACCCTCCTCTGCGTAAGAAGAAGAAACTCCTTGGGGAAGGTGGGATCTCCACAGAGCTTTCCAAATCCCCTCCATCTCCACATCCCCATCACACAACCAGGTGAAGCTGCTGCTCTGCTCAGACACAAGGTCACATCACTCTGCTACCACACCTTCTTCCCCAGAACACCAGGGGCACAAACTGATTTTAGAAGGCACAGAAAAGCTGGGGATGGGGAGATGCATGGGGGGCAGAGAGGGAAGATACCTTCCCTTTCTAAAGTTCTTCCCATCTCTTCCCACCCCAAAGAAAACCCCGCTGCAGCTCTTGGGTTTTGCCACCCAAATCCCACCACAGCTTGATAACTGCCTTCCAAGCCTCTCTGTTTTTAATTAATGCTATTTTGATAAGAAATCACAATTTCACCCCCATCTTCTCCTCTGCCCCCCTCCCCACCACCAAACCCTGCAATGTGAGTTTGAGGGATCCCTGAGCCAGCTCGGTCCTGGCAGGGGCTGGAGAAAGGAGGGGGAAATGTGTGGGCTGATGGATCAGAACCCTTTTGGAATGGGAAACCTCACCCTGCACGACAAGGTGTGCAAACAGCATCACTAACCAAAGAAATAAAAATAAATAAAACCACCACAGCGAGGTTGGGGGCAGCATCCCCAAGAGGCACCGGGAAATGAGCAGCAGAGCATCTCCCCAGCCACTCCTGGATTATCCCGGGATTCTCCATCCACTCCTGAATTCTCCCTGGCTCCTCCATCCACTCCTGGATCCTCCCCGGCTCCTCCATCCACACCAGGCACTGACAGCCCGCGGTGCTGGAGCATCCCATCCCCTCCCACACTTCGGAACACAAGATGCTCCAAAATTAACACCTTACATCCACAGGGGAACAGCAGCAGCACCCAAATGCTCCCTGCACAATATCAGGGAAGTTTTCCCTGCCTCTGTAACAACCTCACTCTCCACTCCCCTGGAAAATACATCTGGAAAAGGCAGCCGGGAAGGGCACAAACAACTCGGGAGAACTCTCTGCAAACTCCTTCTCTGGCTTTGCAGAAGCTGCGATTCCATCCCCGGGGGTTTCCAGGGTCTCTGTAAGAGATGCAGCTCGCACTGCCCAGCTCGCTTCTCTGCCGCCCGAATCTCCGCGTGGAGCGATTCCAGAGCGGCTTTTTGCCAAATAAAAACATGCAAAAAGCGAAAATAAAAAAAAAAACCACCCCAGCCATCCCCAGCTGCCTGCGCCCAGGAAGGTTTGACAGCTCCAACAGGACATCTCATCCCACGACGTGTCTACAGCTAATGCAAAATAAATCAGCGCTCCGTCTCCCGGCGCATTTTTTTTTTTTTTTTTGTGTTCCACTCTCACGGCACGCCTGCGATTTTGGCATTCAAAGGGAAATCGGCCGCGGTTCCAACTCCACACATCCATTCCCAGCACACAGAAATGCCCCGGTGCTCTTCCCAGCGCCGGCTCCTGCGGGGGGAGCATCCCGAATTGGGGATCCCATCCTCATCCCTCCGCAAGGAATTCACCAGCGCACCTCTCCGAGCAACAAAAGAGAGTTCAACCAAACGCCTTTTCCCTCTTTTTCCCCTTCTCAAAATGTTTATTTGCAGTTTTTGAAGACACCTTAACCCGCCATGTTGAACAAGCTTTATAAATATTCATTTACCGCAGTTCGGGAGCGCTACGGGAAAATGTGTCTAGATCAGGGCTGCACATTTTGGCACAGCTAATCGCTTTCTTCTCTTTTCTTTTCTTTTTATTTTTTTTCCCCTTCCCTTTCGCCTCCTGCAGCAGCTTGTTCTTTCCCCCGCAGATTCAGAAGAAACCCACCCGCACACCCAAAATAACTCTTTCCGAGAGATGTGCATCACCAGCCTCGTAAATCTGAAAGGAGGTCGCACGAGCGTTTGGCAGGGAAGCAGAAAAAAGATAGGTGTAACTTTAAAAAAATTTTTTTTTTAAATATTGAAAAAATAAGGGAAAGAAAGATGGGGATAGGGAAACATAGAAAAAAAAAAGAAAGGGAAAAAAAAGAAGGGAGGGAAGCAAAGAAAGGTGGGGGAAAGCAAGAAAAGGGGGGGAAAGCAAAAAAGGGGAAAAAGGCAAAAAAAGGGGGGGAAAGGCAAAAAAGGGGAGGGAAAGCAAAAAAGGGGGAAAGGGAGGGGAAAAAAGGAAGGGAAAAAAGGAGATGAGAGCATGTAAAACGCGATCTGCCGAGTAAAAAAGCTCGATGCAGCCGAGGGGCAGCGCGGAGCTCCCGGGGCGCAGCCGGGCAGCGGCAGCCGCGCTCCGAGCGCCGGTCCCGGCCGGGGGCTCAGCCCCGGCACTTCCACAACTCCACCGCGGGCTCGCCCTCTGCAAAACGGGCGGATGAAATACCCACACCCACCTCTCCCGCTTAAAAGAAAAAAAATAATAATAATTGGAAAGAATTTTTAATACATCGTGAAAAGGGGAAAGCGACCCTCTCCACCCAAACGCGATAAATAAAATAAAGGGAAATGCCAGCCGGGAGGGTTCGGGAGGGGTGGCTGCTGGGAGCCGTGCCTTACCTGTGCGAGTTTGGGTGATTTGGGGGTGTTTTTCCCGTTTTCGCCCCGCGGAGCGGTGCGCGGTGCTGCGCGGAGCGGAGCCCGGCCGTGCCCGCGCCCGCACCCGCGGCAGGCTCCTTCCAATATGGCATCCGCGCAGTGCGCATGCCTGCCGCTCTTTTTAGGGCGCTTTTTTTTTTTTCTTTCTTTCTTTCTCGCTTTTTTTTTCCCCCCTCCCTTTTAATATTTAGCAGCCAACTCCTTTCATTGACCTTTTTCAGCAGTTTCAAGAAAAGGGATAAAAAAAAATAATAAAATAATCAGGCGCGCATCCCAACCCGCTGCTCCGCGCCCGCGGTGCCTCCGCGCCTTGAGCCGCGCCTCTGCCGGGGATTTGGGCAGGGATGGAATCCACGTGTGGAAGTCGAGATTCCATCCCTGTCCCCACCCGGGACAGCACGCAGTGGCATCCAGGGCTGGCCGCCCGCACCCTAAATGCCACAAAATACCATCAAATACCATAAAACACCATCAAATACCATCAAATACCATCAAATACCATAAAACACCATCAAATACCATCAAATACCACAAAACACCATCAAATCCAAGCCTTCAACACCGGAGCGCTGCCTCCCGGCTTGCCTTCCTCACAAGCTTTTATTTCGCTTTTCCTCCTCCTTTCGCGTCGCCAAGAAACTTCCAAGGGAGGGAGATGGGGGAAGAAGATGGAGAAAAGAGGGAAAGCAAAAAAAAATACGGCGCATCACTCAGCCCAGCCCGTTCCCTCCGCTCCGCCGGGCTCCGGCATTACCTGTTTATTCCCTGTTGCGGAAAATAAATAAAATATATCACGAAAAGCCGGAGAAGGCGGGATGTAAAATCAACTGGTGGGCACCCTCCGGTGCACAGGGACAGGCACAACTTTCCCTCCTTTGCTCCTCAGGTTATCGGATGGGATTTTTTTTTTTCCTTTCGGGTTTTTTGGTGGTTTTTCCTTTCTTTGGCGAGTGCGGGGGATTCGCGCTGCGTTCGCTGCTGCTGCGGGGGTGTTCGCACGTACAGCCACACTGCGGGGTTTTTCAGATGGCATAGATATTCTGTTCTTCCCTCCCGAGAAAATCAGCCCCGCTGCAGGACTGGGAAATCGCTCCAGACACCACTGCCCGTGCCCCCTGCTCTCGGGGAGGGGGTCAGAAAAATCCCCCGGGGTGGGAGGGACGGGGATAAATCCGCATTTCTGCAGCCGGGGTTTCTCGGGATGCTCCGACCGCCCGCAGATCCCAGAGCTTCCCCTACCCCTGCTGAGCAGCGGGGCTGGGGGTGAATTTTGCAGGGTTTTCGCCTCCTCCCCGCCCCTTACAGCCCTGTTCAGGGGCTGTGTAAATCATTTTTTATGGGGATTTTTGGAGCTCCAGCTCCCGTTTTCCTGCAGGCACGATTGAGGATTCAAGGGGATGCTTTTGGAGCATCCTCCGAGGTGGGGGTTGGTGCAGGACACACACATTCAACAGGTCTGGAACAGAGCACAGGGAAAGGACATCCCTCAAAACATCCCAGTTTTGAGGCAGCAACCAGTCCTGGACTTTGTGTTTTCCACAAATTCCTTTTGGAATTAACCCCAAACACTGCTGTGTCCATTCCCACACCAGGGCTGCCAAATTGACATCACCCCTCAAGCTCAGATGCAAGAGCTGTCTCCACTTGCCTTTCTCTGGACATTTCTGAGCAAAGGTTCGAAGTTTCCAGGTTGATTTTGTGAGCATCCCTCCTTGCAGGAGCAGGAAGGGTGATCTCACACCTGGGGAAGAGCTGCTTTCCCACAGGTGACCTCAGCTCTTCTCTGCCCTGCATCCTTTCCACTGGTTCTTGCTGGGGATTCATCACTGAACCTCCCAAACCCCTTTCCCTTCCTCTCTCTCCAATCCCTTTCCCTTCCTCTCTCTCCAATCCCTCTCTCTTCCACTCTCTCCAATCCCTTTCTCTTCCACCAGCCTCTCATGGATTTTGTGCAAGAAGACAAGTGAGGGGTGGAATAAAGATGAAGAAATATTTTGATTCTGGAATACATTTGAGAAGATAGTGAATGCCTGGAAAGAAGAGCAAATATTGCAGACAGTGTTTCTTCAGCCCAATCCATGTTCTTGCCATTCACACTCCAAGAAGCCACGGGCATGGGCTCAGCATCTCCTGTTACAGCAGATTTCCTGGAAAACAAACACAAACACAAATACAAATACAAATCAAGCAGGCTTTTTCAGGCTTTGGGCTGGATGAAATTTCAAAACAGCAAGGAAACACTCTCAAAACTTCAAAATAAGACCAGAACCGCAGCTAGATGCCAGGAGGGCATTGGAGTCCTGTTTATCCTGATGATTGTGGAAGTGGGTGACATTTTCAGCACAGAGACATTTCAAATTTTGAGCACTTTTGAAAGGAAGATGCTCTGCAAACACCATATCTGTGTTCTCTCTCTCTTTTAATCTGCTCTGAATTAGGTTACACTGAGATTCCTCTGGCTGCAACCTCTCCTCATCTAAAGCTGGTGGCATCACCCAGTTTAGGGACAGATTCACAGCACTTCAGGTGTTTCTCCATCTCCTTTCCTTTAACACCCGATGCCTTTGTGCTTTATTTATTTATATATTATCCATTCAGGCCTAAGAGGTTTTCCCAGAAGTTTTGGTTCCACTGTCTTCTCTGGAGCTCTTCTTCCCTCTTCACCTTGATTTTCTCTTTTAGTTTCATTTAGAGACTATTTCTGAAGCACTGATGGTTCAATTGTCCCTGTATGGAGAGATGTGGAAGAAAGCCTTCTAAGAGTTTGTGATCTAAATTAGGTCTGTGGATGGTGTCCAAAGAGGTGGTTTGGAAAAAAAAAGAAAATAATAGTAATTAAAGCTGAGGAACAAAATTCCCTTGAAACTTTTCTAAGTTGCTGCTGCAACAAAGCTCTCAGATGTGAATGAAAAAGTGCAGATTTATATCAGGGCTGAGCTGGAGATGACGACTCTAACAGCCCCTGTTGGCAGCAAAGACTTTGCATCTTGCTTGTTGCTGAGAATACAAATTGTTTTAGTGGACGTGAACTGCAGTAATTGCTGAGAGATTTCACTCTAACACTGCCTTTGAGAGCATCACTGGAAAAAAAAGAAAGTGCTTTGAGAAATACTGAATTGTGCCAGTGTAGCATCCCAAGATGTAAAATGGATTTAAGCCCTGCAGAAACCCACCCTGAGATCAGCTCCAGTTTCAGACTCAGTGACTCTCAGGGATGAATTTTCCACTCATTTAAAGCAATTCCATTAATTTCACTGCTGTCCCCGCTCCTTAGTGCTGCTTTTGTGGGCAACCATGACACCTGATCTTGTGTTTTAAGTTGGGAACAGAAGTTTTACGTCTGAATTTTGTTGTTGTTTTTAAGTAAAGCATTTTTATGCAAGTAGCATGAAAAAGATTTAAAAAGCTAAAGAAAGATTTACCTGAGTACCAAGTACCCAAGCTGTAATGAACATCCATCTGCTGTTGCCTCTGATGATCACTCCCAAAGGATGGAACTGTTCACATCCCAAACTTTCCATAGCTGCACACACAAAAACTCTCCAACCCAGGGAAATCCAGACAGTCCCATTGCTTTAGATCAGATATTTGCAGCTCCTGATCTGCAGGAGAAGATTACTAAGACACAAAAATTTTCCCATTTTCCAGGCTGTTGCCTTCAGCAGGTTCATGTTTTTGGAGGACAGATGGAGATGTAAAAAGGTCCCCTACACAAGGAGGCACAAGCACACACAGAAACAGAGATGTTATGGCATTAACACTCCTAATTTTTCTCTTTTTCTGTGACTTGGGAAGATAAATGCTCTGAGGGACACTATGGGATTTGTACGTGGTTATGTATTTGGTTATCCATTTCAGGCCCAATTTAAGCAGGTGCCTGAAGGACTCACAAGCTGAACATGGTGCTGAGATGACATTTGTGTTCATGAATAAATGGCATTAGCCTTGCAGACAGCAGCTGGGGGGATCTGAGACAACTTCAGCAAAGTTGAGGCTCTGGAGCTTCATCTGTGATAAACACTGTGAGTGAGACTGGGCAGAAGTTCCTTGGTGGCAGCCAGGTTTCCTTCTAACCCAAAGAATGGGGTTATCTCCATTTTTGGAGGTGTTTTCCTGCTTTTGGGATGCTGATTCCTGCACTGGAAAAGGGGCAGGGCAGTGCAGCTGGCACTGGGGAATTCTTTGGGACTGGTTAAGTGTCTGGCCTGAGTGAGCTCAAGGGTGGAGAGTGTCTAAAGGAGTTTGGTGTCAAAAGAGACACAGGACATCACTGGGGCCACTCCACACTCAGGTGCAGCTCCTGTTAGCTCCTCTGCCATTCTCATCTCCTGGCACTGCTCCTGGGCTCACAGCAAAGCCTCTCTGCATTTTCCCTCTCCTCTCAACAAACTGTGGCCTTCAAGTTTCACCCCACCTTATCACAATCTTTACAGGAGGTAGAGACACCATCAGGTCCTTATTTCATGACATCTCCTGGGCCAAGGCTTTCACTTCTACCTTTGTCTTCTTTTTATCCATCAGCCCTAATTCAAAAAGAAGTTGGTCCCTGGGAGGTGGCATTGGGATGCTGGAAGACTTGTTTCACAGTGCCATCTCCTGGAGATCCTATTTAGGCTGAATTTCTCTGATACCTTTTTCTTTTCAGCGTATCTGAGCTTTGAAGGCAGGTGTTTAAGGTGTTTAAGGCATGATCTAAAGAGGAGATTGGCCTAAATGAAGTTAATCCAAAATTTAAACGCCCTCTTTATGCTTCACAGTAAAAGTCCTGCCTCTCGAATGCTGCGAACAGCAGAGGAATTGCTGGCTTGGGATTCATGAAATATTCATTGGGTTGTGGTCCCACAGGCTTTGCACCTCTTGGCAGCACCAGCCCTGTGTGCAGTGATTGGAGAGGCAAAAAACATCCCCTGGAGAGGTGAAAGGTGCCTTGGTGCAGCCCTTCTCCTGCAGGAACTCAAGGAACACCAGGGAAAAGGGATCATTGTGACCGTGTTCACAGGGGTCTTTGGATGAGGGAAGAGACGAGGATTTGACTCTGCATTTCAGAAGGCTTGAGTTATTATTTTATGATATATATTACATTAAAACTATACTAAAAGAATAGAAGAAAAAGTTCTCAGAAGGCTGGCTATGCTAAGAATACAAAAGAAAGAATGATAACAAAGGTTTGTGGCTCAGACACTGTGTCCAAGCCAGCTGACTGTGACTGGCCATTAATTCCAAACATCCACATGAGACCAATCACAGATCCACCTGTTGCATTCCACAGCAGCAGATAACCATTGTTTACATTTTGTCTTTGAAGCCTCTCATCTTCTCAAGAAGAAAACGAAAATCTTAAAGAAAGTTTTCTCATAAAAAGATGTCTGCAACAGATCATCACCTCTCAAATGGGAGCTCCCAGGGCCAGGCACCCCCAGAGCCCCCAGCTGCCCTGCACACCCTGCCCCAGACACAAACACAGACCCACACACCCCCTCCATGGCTCAAAGCACTTTATTCACCCAATTTTAATTTATTTTTAGTGCCTGTTGATTAGAAATCACTGCGTAGGGATTGTGGCTATTCAGCAGAGGAGCAATAAGTGGCTTTAATATTAACTGGAGAATCTGAGCTAGTACCTCATGCCTGCATGGAATGCCCAGAAAGCGTGGTCTCTGTGCTAAACAATGGCTTTCCCACCTTAGCAGTAAATGAAAGGGAAGCACATGCTATACCAAATAAATCACAGAGCTGAGTTCAATACTGAGGCTCTCAGCTATGAGCCTTATTGATCGAGCCAGCACTACAGGAGAGACCCACTCTCATATCAAAAACTTGCTCATTTCTACCATTTACTAACAGCTTCTTTATTTATTTCAAGTATTTATAGGCTTTGCCTGGGCAGGAAAGCTCCTCCTGGTTTTTAGCTGGTGTTGGGAAGGGAGGCTGGGGAAACTGAGGCAGGAGGAGCTGAGCTCACACACAGATATGCAATTCCAGGGAAAGGCTGTGACAATGGAAATGGATTTACAC